AAAAGGCAGCTCAGAAAGAGAAGGGAGCACCAAATAAAGGGTGTTGGGAGGATCCTCCCAGGATGGGAGAAGCATGCTGAAAATAGACTATAGACCGAACATGATTGCCACTCAATGCCTGTTTTGCAAATCACAGCACCCAAAAAAGGAGAGAGAACAAAAGGGAATGCCCTGCCAGAGAGGCAGGGTGGGATGGGGAGGGGGGGATGAGGGTGGGAGGGATACTGGGATCCGTGATGGTGGAAAATGGGCACTGATAGAGGGATAGGTACTTGATCATTGTATAATTGAAACCCAATCACAAAATTTTGTAAGTCTACAACTGTACCTCATGGTGTTTCACTAATAAAAATTTTTTAAAAAATACTTCGACTGGGAAGAATAAATGTACTCTTGGTTAGTGCTTTTCAGACTTCAGTTCCCATTCATATCACTTTTTGAGATGTTACTAAAATGCAGATTCTATTCTGTGAATTTGAGGTTCGGACAAATGTTTTGGCTTTCGAGTAAATTTTCAGATGATGTTAGGTTGCTGGCTGCTTTAAGCACAGTGTGCAGAAGGAACGTGCCTGTTGGCCAAAGTGTTAAAAACGTAGGGATGCTTGCCTAGTGCCCCTGTAAGAGTACAAATAAGTTAAACAAAGGAGAAGCATGAGTCAAACAAAACACGGTTGTACACATTTAGATGGAATCAAACATGGACTACCCAGGCATTAACTGAATACAAAGAAAGATATTTTTGAAGTTTCCTATGAAGTGTCAAAAAAACAGAGTCACTGTATCTTGTATCTTTCACTGGCAAGGAAAAGTGAAGCATTTTCTATTAAGAAGAAACCAAAGGCTCTCAGCTGCTGAATTGTATGGTGCCAGTTTGCACCATACAATTGCTCTACCTCTTTATCTTCCTTCAAAAGTGTCTAATGTTATGGGTCCTGGAAAATGATATGTTTTTTTCCAAAGTATGCTCTTAATTTTACAATAAAAGCTCTTCAAAAAATTCAAGCAAAACAAACAATAGAGAGGTAATTTATTGTATTGTTGAGACATCAGTTAGAAAACATATGCTTTAGAATTTGGGACATGTTAGGAGAATTACAGGCTTACAATGTGTATCTATGCATTTTTAGCTTGCACATTATCAGAAATTTCTAAGGATTTATAAGCATTCACAGAATGACTCTAGGCTTTCAACTGTGGGGCATTTTTCTAGATCATTTGCTTAGTGCTCCTATAGGCACCCAGCAATCTAATAGATGATTTTTCAATATTGTCATGTACTTGACACAAATAGACCTGACTTTGAAAATTTTATTTGTTCTTTTGCTAGTGTGTGTGTACATGTGTGTGTAAGAAGCAGTGCTGCTTGCCTTACACTATACAATGTGCAGAATATAAGCAACACTGCCAATAGCTGAGTGAGATCACATGTTTCGAAGCCTTGCAGCCTGGTGAGCATGGTTCTAGTTAGGTTAGCAACTGATTTCCTTTGAGTTGTTGCCGCTGCCCACCAGGCTGCTGTTGCCATCTTTGACTTTCTTAATATTTTATTTGGGGTGTCAGTGATGTGTTTCTTTATTCCTACATGCCAACTTCTCCTTTATATTTTAAGAAGTCTTCAAGAATACAGCATCCGTTTACAAGACAGTTCAAAACAACCTTGTACTGGTTTAGTGCTTGAATTGGCATGCGTATGTTGGTTGATTTTCATCCTTAACTTTTCAGATCTTTTAAGGGAAATAAGGACTAGTTTGTAAAAGTGTTCGTTGTTTGAACATAATCTTAGCCTACATCACTCTTCTGATCATTATAAATAGAAACAATAAAGCATAAAAAGATGTATTCATATATTCGTCGATTGCCTCGAGCAGGCCCCAGTAACGTCTCCTTCGTCCTAGCCCTGAGATTTTTTTTTTAAAGTGCCATATTAAAAGCTCTTCCAGGGTTAGGAGAATGAGACCCATCATTGTTACTGGTATTTGGCATATTAGGTACGCCACGGGGAGTTTGCCAGACTCTGCCGTGTGGGCAGGTTACATTCGGTAGCCTGCCAGTTTGTCCAAAGTAGGAATGAGATAATAAGGTGTCGGAGTTGGGTTTTATAGTCTCTGAGTCTTGGCCGTTGATGGGATTACTTTCCGACTTAAGGTAGGACACGGAAATGGGGCCAGACAGAGAGAACAGAGGGGGGCGGGGGGGGCACTCTCCTGGCATGTAGATGACCTGGGGCTCATTCCCAGCACCCAAGATGGTTCCCTGAATCTTCAAGAAGTTATTCCCAAGGGGCCAGAGTGATAGCACAGAGGGTAGGGTGTTTGTCCTGCATGCTGCCAACCCGATTCAATTCCCGGCATCCCATATGGTCTCTCGAGCACCACCAGGAGTAATTTCTGAGTGCAGAGCCAGGAGTGACCCCTGTGCATCGTGGGATGTGGCCCAAAAAGCAAAAAAAAAAAAAAGAGGTTATCCCTGAGTGCAGAGCCAGGCGTAAGCCCCGAGCACTGCCAGGTATAGCCCCAAACCCAAACCCAAACATAAACTCCCTCAAAACCCCTCCCCCTCTCCCCAAAAAAGCTAACAGCAAAAACAAATCCAGAGAAATAGCTCAGTAAGCATTTAGTGAGGGACTTGCTGCAGAGAAAACTGAAGCAGCGGGGAGGGAGAGAGAGCACTGTGTCTAGCGAGTCCTCTTCTGAGGTTCTGCCCCACGCAGCAGCAACAGCCAAGAGCTTGAGCTGCGTTTCTCTTTCCACGGGCCACGCGCAGCGCGCGCATAGCTTACTCCCGCTGTGCTCAGGAGCACTCCTGACAGTGCTGGGGACCGACGACAAGTCGGCCGCGGGCAAGGTGGGCGCTTCCCCGCTGAGCTCTCTCAGGCCCCTCCTTCCCGTGAGGCTCCATGTTGTACGGGGGAGAGAGGCAGGAGAGAGCAATCGACACCTTCCGTGCGACATGCTCAGAGAGGGCGGGGAGCAGCTACGTGAGCTCTGCATGATCCTGAAGATGCGCGTCCTCCGGAACACGCAGAGTATTCATATATATGTACACATAAAAATACATACATCTCATTACACATATACACATATATACATATATGTATTCATAGGCACATATAGATCCTCCTCACTGGTAGAACTTTACAAGAAGAAAAATAATCAACCACTTCAAAAACTGGGGTGAAGTAATTTACAGATATTTCCTCTAAGAAGACATACAGATGTCCAAGAGGTATAGAGGTATATAAAAAATATCCTGTATCACTTATCATTAGGGAAATGCAAATCAAATCAGCAATACAACATCTCATACTAGAAGACCAGTACCATATTGAAACAGTACTTTGCTTAATCAGACTCACCAAGACAGAGTCTTGTGACTGACCAGACCCAGGCAAAGCACCTGAAGCTATCAGTGCCAGTCAAGGCTCTCAAGTGCCTTTATAGGGTAATCAGACGAGCTCATCATTCTTTCACAGTCTATCATGCATCAGCAAGGAAGGACAGGTTACAAGATGGCTTTTATCATGCAATAGGCAGCACATCTCACAGCAAAGGAAAGGAGTTTCCTGAAACCAGGGGTTTTGTGCTTTGTACAAACTGCAAGTTAAGAACTTTCTCAAAGGTAAAGTTGTTCACCCATACCAGCAAAATCATAAGTCCAAGGAATACATGTCATAAAATCTAAAGAACACATGATAGAAAGTTACATGATTATAATTCTCACATCGTAATCACAAAGAATGAAAATGACCAGTGTTGATATGGATGTTGCAAAATAGACCATCATCCATTGCTGGAGGGATGTCAACCTGTGCAATCTTATGGGAAAACAATATAGACACTTCTCAAAAAACAAAAACCAGGAATTGAGCTTTTCTTGCTGGGGATATGACCCAGTAATTCCACTTCTTGGCATGTACCCCAGAGGCCCAAAGTCTACTCAGAAAGGACATGTTGCACTCATGTGATCATTGCAACACTATACACAATAGCCCAAATCAGGAAAGAACCCAAGTCTCCAAGAACAGAGGACTGGATAAAGAAACTGGTACAAATACCATGGAAAACTATGCAGCTATCAGAAAAGACAAAACCATGGAATTATCTATCTGCAGTATTTGGAGGGTATGCTACAGAGTGGAGAAAATAACAAATGCCCAAGGAAACAGGAACTGTTCAGTAAGAAGCAGGGATGGAGGATGGAGAAACTAGGATAGGGAAAGACACTGGGATCATGGTGGGAGAAGCAGATACTCTGGTGCAGTATTATGGTGCTGGAATGTTTCATTCTTGAAACCCTAACATTAACAATATTATAAATTACCTAGCTCAAATATTTTTAAAAGTCCAAGAAAAAACACAAACCATAGTTGTTTTTGGTTTTTTATTTTTATTTTTTTGATCAATATCTGTCCTAAGAAATTAATCTTGCAACTTTAAGTCCTTATTACAAATACAAGATGCACACTCTAATAGGGAAAAGCCTAAGGGAAGTATTAGGGATGAACCCTTGGACATCGTACCCCAGCTATTAGTTGTTACTGACAACGTGTGACTCTCATTGAGGGTGAAGTTCAAGGAGGGGCCACAGAAAGGAAGGCCACGTATAGTCAGGTGGTAAAACTTCAAAGCTTTTATTATTGATATATAATTTGGGGAGGGCTTTTTGTGTCACAACCCGCAGTGCTCAGGGGTTACTCCTGGGTCTGCACTTGGGACTTACTCTTGGCGGTGCTCAGGGGACCATATGGAATACCAAGGATCGAACCCAGGCTGGCCACATCAAAGGCAAATGTCCTACCCTCTATACTACTACTCCGACTCTTATTGATATACAATTTTCACAAGACAAACTACATGGATTCAAGCATACTATTACAGTGTCACATTCCACGCCCTCTCTTCGAAAACAAAGAGAACATCCTCATCCTCCCATGGAGTCTTTCTTCTGCTTCCTTCAAATTAGTATCTCCCACAAAGGATTCCCTGTTGTGTTTCTATCACCTTGGAGCACATCTGCCATTTCTAGGTCAACATAGCCTGTGCTCTTGTTGATGACTTTTCTACACATAAACATGTTTTTGTGGTTCTGAAGTCATTGGGCCCCCTTTGGTGGTTTATGTAAGTTGGGGAGGAGAGAGATGGTCACCTTCTCCCAATCCACCTCTGCCACCCCGGGACCTGTTGGGAAGATTAAGACCTTAAAGGAATGTGATGAGCCCCTGGGTGGAGCTGACCTTGAGTCCCGCCAGCCCCACGAGACCCCACCAGCCCCGTCAAGCCACACCTGATATCTGCATGGTCTTCTCCGCATGGGAGTTGTTCCCCACCATCCGATCTTTTGGGGAGACCTGAAAGTCTTAAGCTGAAGTGAGGAATTGCTCTTTTCCGGAAAGGATAGTCAGACCTAGGCCTTACCCAGGGTTTCCAGGTACTTTGTCCTGTCTCACAGAAAAGATTTTCAGGAAGAGACAAGAAGTCAAATGAAACAGATTTTATTTGGAGGGTTTTGGAAGGGGAAGGAGTGAGAGAAAATGTGTGTGTGAGAGAGTAACATGTTCAAGAGAGAAAGTGGACTTCCCCATCGATGGAAAGAGCCCTAGTACACATCTCAAGAGGGGAGATGTGGGTGACACATGTGCTCAGGGACCACATGTGTTTGGCCTTATGGCACAAGGAGCACAAGGACTTGGCTTGGGCAGCATCAGTGTGCTCTTCCTTTGTTCAAGATGCTTTGATAGGGTGTCTTCAATCTTCTCCACATGGGACTTTTTAGGTAGGTCAGAGTCCATTGCTAGGATTGTTGCTAAGATATAGAGTTGGGACGGTTTGCTTTGAAACTCCTTTCCCTGATCTTTGTTCCTGCTGGATCTTCTCTGAGAGAATGGGTCCAGCCTTCTGGGCTAGCGCCAGGTAAAGGCCTTATCAGGTATTGCTGCCTGTATCCACGAGGTGGGTCCAGATAGCTTTAGGGCTAGGTGGTTTTACTACTTCCTAAGAATTCCATTGCATGGGGGCCCTTTCCTATCTACCTGCCTGCCTACATCAGTTCCTCCACTTTGCCATTGACAAAATGTTGAAATTTTTCTGATAGTGATTTAATGAACAGCTTATAGTTTGATGAAGCTGTTAGCAGAATACTTACATGTACTTATATGCTTATATACTTCTATGAAATTATGATTAGGAGGAGACTACTTGCTAGAAGTTGGCTGTTTTAGAAACATTGTTATTACCATTATATTATTCTTCCCTGACACAACAAAAGGACAGTGGTGGAAGGTCATGGACATTTTGGAGGTGGTAGCACATAACTTTGTTTATGAATACTATAAGCTTAAACACGATTATAACCATATTCTTTAAACTAAATAAAAACTTTAAATAGAATAAAATAAAATTACATATCCACCTGCAAAAAAATACTTTTTTTCAGTGAAGCAAGTAGTTTTTCTGTTTGTCTTGTTATACTTTGTTTTTGAGCCACAACAGCTGGTGCTTAGGGTTTACACCTGACTTCATGCTCAGGGATTCTTCCTGGCTGGCTTGGGGGCCCATAGCGAGGAAGCTGGGGAATCAAACCTATGTTGGCCACATGCACCCTATCTGTTGTGCTATCACCTGACCCCCAAAGAAAGATATTTTTATTGAACAAAACTTACTTAGAAAGATGTAAGGAGAAAGAGGTAACATGTGTTCAAGAGAGAACACAGTCTTCTCCAGAGAGGAAATAAGTTTGAGCAAAGAGACACAGAGATAAGAAATTAGAATACACATTTAAGGGAGAACGGAGGCTTGGAGAACAATTAAGCAAGCAAAGAGACATAGAGGCAAGCAATAAAGATATGTATTCAGGGAGAACACAGACCAAAGAACACAGGCTCTCAAAGATTTTAATTAAAAAAAAATAAAGAGAAAACTTAGACATAACTTTCCAAGACATTGAAGTCAGAGGAATCTTTAAGGGTGAAATTCCACTAACCAAGTAAGTGGAAGCAAAGAAAAACAAATGGGACTCCATTAAATTAAGAAGATTCTGTACCTCAAAGAAAATAATCAGAATAGAAAGACAGCCCACAAACTTGGAGAAATTCTTTGCTTACCATGCATCTAATAAAGAGCCAAGAGAGCCAAAGCACTGGTAGAACTGGACAAAGGGAAAAAATCCAACCCCATCAAAAAACGGCGAGAAGAGATGAACAGAAAATTCCTCAAAGAAGAAATATAGCACTGTATAGCACTATCCTCACATTATACATCATTTGCTTGAGTGGGCACCAGCAACTTCTTCATTGTGAGACTTGTTTTTACTGTTTTTGGCATATCGAATATGCCACGGGGAGCTTTCCAGGCTCTGCTGTGTAGGCAGGAAACTCTCGGTAGCTTGCTGGGCTCTCCGAGAGGGATGGAGGAATCGAACCCAGGTCAGCCATTTGCAAGGCAAATGCCCTACCCGCTGTACTATCACTCCAGCCCAAAGAAGAAATAGAAATGGCAAAAAAAAGCATATGAAAAATAAACATCACAAAGCATTAGACAAATGCAAATCAAAGCAATGAGATACCACCTCACACCACAGAGAGTCACACTCATCACAAAGAACAACAACCACTTGTGTTGGCATGGGTACAGCCAAAAAGAACTCTCATTCACTGCTGGGGAATGTCGGCTGCACCAGCCTTTTGGGAAGACAGTTGAACATTCCTCAGAAAACTAGGAACTGAACTCCCATTCGATCCACAATTCCACTCTTGTAAATATACCCAAGGGCCCCAAAGCACAAAACAGAAAAGGCATCAGCATTCCTATGTTCATTGCAGCACAATTTAATATAACCAAAATCTGCTAACAACTTATGTACTCAAGATGAAGAAACTATGGTTTTATATTCACAATGGAATATGACACAGTCATTAGAAAAGATGGAGTTATAAAATTTGCTGATACATGGATAGATCTGGAGAGTATCGTGCTGACTTAAATGAGTCAGAGGGAGGACAAACACTGACTGACCCCACTCATTTGCAGATATACAAGTATCATGGCAGGAAAATAATGCCCAAAGACAATAGGAACAAAAGGCAGGAGAACTGGTCCTCGTAGAGAGCTTCCCAAAGTAGGGAGATGTGGTTTAGGTCCAGGAAGGGACCACTACGACAATGATAGGGAAAAGTGGTTAATTTGGATGAGAACTGGGTGCAGTAAGAAGGTTAGGTGATGCACATGATATACTTTCAGTAACAATATTGTAAACCACGGTGCCATAAATAAAAAGAGAAAAGTGCCTGTCATAGCATTGGAGGGGTGGGGATGGGTGGGAAAATGGGGGCATTGTTGGAGGGAAGGAGTCACTCTAAAGGGATTACTGCTTGATCATTGTAAATCTGAAACGCAATCATGAATAACTTTGTGATGTGTTAATTCAGGTCAAGAACTCTATCCCTCAGCTTGCCCCATAACTTCTGCACCATCTATAACCTCTTTCTGGGTCCATATGGGATGCAGGGAATTGAACCTGGGTCCGCACATGCAAAGAAGATGCCCTACTGCTGTACTCTTGCTCCAGACCCACCCCCCGACTCTTGATGCTGTGGGGTTTTCTGGATTTTTGTTTTTCTTTTTGGGTCACACCTGGTGTTGCCCTGGGGTTACTCCTGGCTGCGCACTCAAGAATTACTCCTGGTGGTGCTCACAGAACCATATGGGATGCTGGGAACCAAACCCAGGTCAGCCGTGTGGAAGGCAAACACCCTACCTGCTGTGTTATCGCTCCAGTCCCTTAAATGCTGGGTTTTGATCTGCAAGTCTGAGTTTCTTTAGAAGAATCTATTCGTTAAGAATCAGTAGCAGGCGAGTGGTATGGTGCCACCAGCAGGTCAATCTGTACCTGTGAGGTGAGTGCATCAGCAGCCTGATGGCGCCCTCAGACTTCCAGATACCCTAAAATTGCTACTGTGCCTTTGGCCAGACCCCAAAAACTTGGGGCAAAGTTTACCAAGAAAGTAAATTGCCAAAAGTTAGGTATGTGGGAAACACACCCACAAACCACCTCTGGCTCAGTTATATAATTGGAGGCATGGCCTCTTCTGGTTTCTGATTGAACTGCTTAATGGCCATGATCCCAGAGACTCAGAAACAAATCTCGAAACCCAGCGGCTTTTGGCAGAAATGTGTCTAGTCCCTGCAATAGGTTACCAGTGCTGGGCCAACTCAGGTGGGAATAGGTTTTGTGCCTTGGCCTGTTTTCCCTGGCGGCCCAGTGGGCACCATTCTCCAGAGGCCACTGGACAGTCAGGTTTGGGCCCACAGTGAAGAGACACTTTGGGTCTCATGGGATTGGGGTGGAGACGGTCCTGTCCTCCCCACCCCAACAAGACCCCAAGTCATCGCCCACAAAAGTCTCTCTGGCTCCTGATCAAGCTGCTTAACAGCCATGATCCCAGAGACTCAGAAACAAATCTCAAAAACCAGCGGCTTTTGGCAGAAATGCATCCAGACCCCAGAGTAGGTTACTGTCACCGGGCCACCCCAGGAGGGAAAGGATGCTCCCCCTTGGCGGCTTGGTGGCTGCCATCCTCCAGAGGCCATTTGACAGTCAGGCTTGGGCCCGCAGTGACAAAACTTGTTGGGCCTCATGGGATGGGGGTGGAGCCGGTCCTGTCCTCCCCATCCCAAGGAGACCCCAAGTCATCACCTATGAATGGCCTTTCTGGCTCCTGATCAAGCTGTTAAACAGCCATGATCCCAGAGACTCAGGAGCAAATCTCGGAACCCAGCAGGTTTTGGCAGAAATCCCTCCAGATTTCAGTGTTAAAATTTCGGAATTTCAAAATCACGCGGCCACTGCTGCAGCCACGCGACATCATATGTTATTCATAACCATCAATAGAAAATAAATTGTCTTCTGTTGCCTTTTCAGCAGATCTGAGTGTTGAGGTAAAATCTCAAATAATAATGGTGGGTCTGGTGTCAAATTATTGAATGTGATCAAAGTAGAGAGAGAGAGTAATGTGGAAATCATCTGCCCCACAGGTAGGGGGAGGGTGTGGGATGGGGGTATACTGGGATTGTTGGGGG